CCAGATCTCAGATCAATCTTACTAAATACACAAGCTCCAACTAGTTGATCCATCAAATCATCGATCCTCGGCAAAGGATACCGATTCTTGATTATAACTTTATTCAGCTGTCTGTAATCAACACATAATCTCATTGAACCTTCTTTCTTCTTAACCAACAACACCGGAGCACCCCACGGCGAAACACTCGGACGAATAAACTTCTTCTCAAGTAACTCCTCCAACTGTTTCTTTAACTCCGCTAATTCAGGTGCCGACATACGGTAAGGCGCCATCGACACCGGACTAGTTCCAAGAATCAAATCTATAGTAAATTCTACCTCCCTCTCAGGTGGAAATTCACTAACGTCTTCCGGAAACACCTCTGGAAATTCATTCACCACTGGCAATCCATCACTCTTTGCTTTTCCCTCCGCTTCTATTGCAGAATACAACATAAATACCACATCACCATCTTTCACAGCTAGGTTCATATGTTTAACCGACATAGTTACATCTTCGACACCAACCTCTTCAGGAAAAATAACCGTCTTCGCAAAACAGTTGATATGAACCTGGTTGAATTCCAACCAGTTCATTCCAAGGATGATATCAAGTTGTTCTAACAGTAGGCACACTAAATCCATACCGAAACCCCTACCAAAAATCACAATAGGACAATTCCTACAAACATACGAAGTAGTCACTGAACCCGACGCAGGAGTATCAATAACCATACTTCCATCCATATTAGAAATTTCCAAATTCAATCTTTTAGCACAATCCAAAGCAATAAAAGAATGCGTAGCTCCAGTATCAATAATCGCAATCAAAGGTATGTCATTAATAAAACATGTACCTTTAATCAGCCGATCATCTGGCTTAGTCTCTGACCCAAACAATGCAAACACTTTACCACTAGCTTGCTCCTTCTTGGGTTTAGTACACTGAGGACGAGTATGACCTTCTTCACCATAGTTGTAACAAGTCACCACTCTTACTCTGCAATCATTGGCCACATGGCCGAGTTTCCCACACTTGAAACACTTCTTATCATTACTTTTGCAATCCACCATACGATGTCCTGTCTCACCACACTTGTAGCACTTAATGGAAGAACTAGAATCTCCTCCACCAAACTTCTTCCAACCACCGGGTCTCTGATTACTTCTATCATAAGGCTTACCACGATCCATCTGTTGCTTACCCTTCCTATCAACATACCCTCGAGCATTCGACTTAGTGCTAGCAAGATTCTCCTATAAAATCCTACTACAGTCAACCAGATCAGGAAATCTTCGGATACGCTGATACCGAATACCCTGCTTAATCTCATCACGAAGACCATTCTCAAACTTGATACATTTGGAAAATTCTCCATCTGCATCGTTAGTATAATGAGCATAATACTTCGCTAACTCAGTAAACTTCGAAGCATACTCACTAACACTCTTGTTACCCTGCTTGAGTTCCAGAAACTCAATCTCCTTCTTGCCTCTGATGTCCTCAGGAAAGTACCTCCTCAGAAAAGCCCTCCTGAACACAACCCAAGTCAACGCAATACCATCTTCTTCCATTTCAGTTCTGGTAGCAACCCACCAGTCATCAACTTCCTCTGCTAACATGTGAGTTCCGTATCTCACCTTCAGCCCTTCAGCACAGTCAATTACTCTAAAGATCCTCTCGATCTCCTTCAACCACTTCTGAGCACCTTCAGGATCATGTGCACCCTTGAACAACGGAGGATTATTCCTCTGAAAATTCCCCAATTGTCGGTCAGCACCAATCACAGCTCCCTGTTGGTTCCCTTCGAGTACTCCAACCAACATTCCCAATGCTTCAACAATAGCATCATCGTTTCTTCCATTACCTCTTCTGGCCATTGTTCTTGTAACATTACAAAACAACCTCATCAGCATACAAGTATCGACAGTGTCATCTTACACTAGTCGCATACAAAAGGGATAACGACACAAGACAAGACCGACTATGCTCTGATACCACTATTGTAACACCCATTCTAAAATACCCCGAATAATATTAATTATATCAATGATTAAAGACATATTCCATCAGAGTTAACACGAAACAAGGGATGTCACAATTATGAAAAAAATAAAACTTCCAATAAAACAGTAGTCATGCTACACTGAGGGTCATTATTCAAATAGTTCAATCAACTTAAGACCATGTCTTACACAGCGGAAAAATACCATAACCAAAACGGAATAAACCAAAACATAATTATTCCCAATGAAATTCAAAGAAACAATTGAATAATAACTAATTCCTCAACTAAATGTTCCCCAGTGTTACAACCTATCAGAGCACGACACTGACACGCGGACTTAAAGTAACATAGCTCTAGAGCCATCCTCACCAACTCCTAAGCTGCTAACTTTAATATGAAATTGTTAAAGTAAGGGTGAGATTTCTCATAATTAACATGCATTATAAGCTTCTCAATCAACATTATATCACAAGCATATTATTTCACCCATTTTAGCATAAATCCAGGTTCAACACGCAGTTCCAATCATACAAGTCATTATGCACAAATCAATAATCAACCAAAGAATTGTAACACTGGAAGACATCCTAACATGTTACAATTCCATGCAAACACCAATGCAGACACAATGCATGTGGTACCAACACGTGACCAAGTCACCTAACACTGATCCATCATCAATCAGATACAGCAACCATCGATTCGTCCATAAACACCCGGACACGAATCCATCCTAACCACCCATCATCACCCAGGTATCAGTTAACGGCAATACAAGTAAAATTCCATACAATGGGAATTAACTTCACCAAAACAATGCACATGCACGCACATCACTAGCATGTAACATCAAATCAGTCTATGAAATACATCAATTTATCATAACTGAACCAAAATCAAAAACATGATATCTCAACGATCATGCAGACCATCATTAGCATATAAACATGCCTTTCATTCACACAATACTAATACATCCATCCATCACAGGTTCACTGCTACATACACACCCATGTGCGTTAGCCAATAATCACTTATTCCGGGATTTGACTCATTTTCAAAATAATTTCAGGTTTTAAGAAATCTTTTCATTTTACAAAATAGAGCATTAAATTTAAGAAATAACGTCCAAAACGGCACTCAAAACGGACTTACGGTTTGAAAGTTATGAATTTTCAAAGTTTAATATTTTTCAAAAAGTTACAGCAGAACCCGGTTCCTACATATGCAGGAACCGGTTCTTGCGAAGTTCAAAAATCACGCTTCTGGAAAATGTATGGGAACCCGGTTCCTACCTATACAGGATCCGGTTCCTACGTGCATTTTTGCCAGTTTTTATAAATTCACACAGTGGAACCCGGTTCCTCCCCACTGGGAACCGGTTCCCACGACCTGCAGAGTCAAATTCTGCACTTTTGACAGCATTTATTCATTCTAAACCAATCCCAAACATACTCATACGAATTGCAACATGAGAAACACCAAAACACATTCATTTTGCACCATTATAACATCAAACAACATTATTTCATCATTCTTTTTTATCATCTGACACCCTAATGGTTTTCAACCTACAATTCGACGCAATATGGACAATTCTACGGAACCCTAGAATTCCAAACCGGGATTCCCTAACATACTATGATCCATACTATTGAATATCTAAACCGATAATACGAATTAACTAATCGAAATCACCCCTTACCTTGTGGGTTCTTCGAATTCTGACGCTTCCGATTTTCTCCTTCTTTTTCCTCTTCTCAAATGCACGTATGATGAATATTCCAAAATAACTCTCTTTCTCTTCTTTTTCCTTTTAATACTCCTTTTATTATTCCAATAAAATAATTAAATTAGTAATTAGTAAGAGTAGAGTATTTTACCCCTCACACCCTCTAATCACTCTTCACACCACCAATACTTCTTTCCTTTAATTAATTAAATTAATTCCAATAATTCAAAAATACCAATAATTAAATTTCCAATTAAATTAATAATTAAAAATTCTAATTATTTAATAATCGGATTATTTGGGGTGTCACATATTACACCTATCAACAATGGAGTCTTCTCCCTCTTCAAGCCCTAGCCTTGATTTTTCTCCCGACTCTTATTTTGCACGTACTATAAAACTCCTTCCAATTCTTCATACTTTCTTATTTATAATAAAACTTAGAATTTAATTGAAATACACTGACATTGAAAAGAAGTTTTACACTATCAGTGAATCATAATCGTTAAAATTTTATAAATATTTGACTTTTTCTTTGATCACATATAAAATATTATTTTTAAATAGTTGTGATGCACTGATAATGTAAAATATTTTACACTAACAAAGCATAACAATTAATCTCTAAAACTTAATTCCACCTATTTAAATAATTCCCTTATTACCTTTATTATTCTCCATATTTCCTACCTTGCCCCTATTCCTCTACTAACTCATATATATATTTTTAATTTAATTAATAATTATTAAATAATTCTAAAGCCTTTTTATATTTATTTTAATATTAATATAACTTTTTATTTTATTTTAGTTAATTAAAAATATTAATATTATAATTGTTTTAAACTATTCTATCAAGTACTGATATTCTCACCAAATCCTACCAATATATTATACCCTAACAACACATATAAATGTATAATTTATTTTAATTAAAATATATAATAATTAAATATATACTAATACAAATCAATTAATCGGTAGGGATGACATATTAGTTGATCTCTCTATCTATTTCTTGATGCTCTTGATTTATCAATTTAAAAATTTAAAAATAAATTGGTGGATAAAATAAATATTTTTATAGGGTTGAAATTGGAATTGACAAAAATTGAATCCCGTTAAACTTTTTTCTGTCTCGTAGAAGCAAAACCCTGAACCTAAAATCTCAAACCCCTTCGCAATCAACCCGCTCCACCTCATTTTCAAAACCCAAAACAAAAGAGCCTCTCACCCATCAATCTCCACTCCAAAGAGCTCGCTTTCCAGTTTGCAACAATGTCGGGTTTCTCATTCGGATCTTCATCCACATCCACATCCCCATTTTCATTCGGGTCCTCTTCCCCTTTCTCCACCACCACAAACCCTACCTCCGCCGCTTCTTCTTCTCCTTCCCCTCTTTCTTTCGCATTCGCCTCCTCTTCCACTTCCTCCTCCACTGGCTCTGCCTTCAACTTTGGATCCTCTTCGTTCACCGCACCTTCTTCTTTATTCGGATCTTCATCGGCTTCCTCCGCGCCGGCTTCCTCAGCTCCTTCCATTTTCGGTTCTTCTGCAACTGGATCGTCACTGTTCCCCTCATCTCCAACGAATCTTTTTGGAGGAGCATCATCGGTGTCAGCCACGGCTTCAACTAGTCTGTTTGGAGGAGCCTCAACGGCTTCAACTAGTCCGTTTGGAGCACCGTCATCGGCTTCTACGACTCCATTTGGAGCACCGTCATCGGCTTCTTCGACGCCATTTGGAGCACCGTCATCGGCTTCTTCGACTTCTTCAACGCCGTTTGGAGCACCGTCGTCGGCTACTTCGACTTCTTCAACGCTGTTTGGAGCACCGTCATCGGCTTCTCTGACTTCTTCAACGCTGTTTGGAGCACCGTCCTCGGCTTCTTCGACTTCTTCAACGCTGTTTGGGGCACCGTCATCGTCCTCGTCCTCGGCTTCTTCGACTCCGTTTGGATTTTCGTCGTCGGCATCGGCTTCAACGACACCGTTTGGAGGAACTTCATCTGCTTCGACGACATCAACTCTGTTTGGTGGAACAGCTTCTGCGGCTGCAACAATAACGACGCCGTTTGGAGCGTTTGGTGGTTCGTCAGTTACTTCTTCATCTACAATTACAACACCTCCTTTGTTTTCTAACGCGTTCTCTACAAATGCTTCTTCAACTTCAACCACGACGTCGTCGTTTTCAGTGTTTGGAAAGCCTTCTGCTCCAGCTAGTACTATAGCTGCAACAACTTCGGCTAGCTCATCGGGATTCACTTTAGGAAACACAGCTTCCTCTGCTTCTCAACCCTCCTTTGGGTTCGGTAATGCACCTTCCTCTACTGCATCTTCGTCCGCCTCCGCCCTTTCCAGCACACAGGCGGCTTCCAAGCCAGCAGGTTCTTTCTCGTTCACAACATCTTCAGCACCACTGTTCTCGACTGTGACTACGACCACATCCTCGACAACCACGACAGGGGCTGCAGTTGTTTCGGCTTCTCTGCCTTCCTTCGGTGCCGCTGCTGCATCTTCTGCTCCAGCTAGTGGTGGCTTTTCTTTGACAGTTACTCCGGTGGCATCTACTGGTGCTGGCTCGTCGTCAGCCAGTGGAGGATCATCTTTTGCTGGTTTTGGTGTAGGAAGCACTGCATCCACTGCATCAACTGTTTCTCTTGGGACGGGGTTTTCATTTGCTAACAAGGCTTCAACTCCTGCCGTTTCGGCAGCTACTGCTCCTACATTTGGTAAGTCATGTTTTTGGAATTTAGATCACGTTTAATGCTCTGTCTTTGAGGTGTGTGAATTGTATTTATTACTGTTAGAATGGAGTCTTTTCATTTTCATATGTGGTGTTTTTTTATCTTTGAATTTATTTAATACTTGCACAAATGAAATTGTGTTATAGAATGTGGTACATAGAAAATGTTGAGTGAGTTACTGAGATCTAGTACAGGGTGGAGGGAAGGGGAAGTATTTAGGTAACTACTTTAAAAAACATGTTACAACCTAGGGGAATTGAGTTTGGGTTCAAAGAACCCAATTGGCTTGTCCTTTGTTGGTTACATCTTATTAGTTGAACTTGTTAGTTTTTTAGTTGTATAGTTAATTACTCCTCTAATTGCATTAGGAGAAAAATTAGAGAATGTAAGTGAGGCGAGTTAGTTGGCTCTCAAGTCTTAGTGGGGTGATATTCAATAAAATGTCCTTAATCCATTTTTGTTAATCTCTATATTCTGAGTTTGCATCTACAGTAATTCAATGTAAAGACAGTGGAATGGTGACTTTTACAAGTAGAATATGTTGTAAGACAAACTTGGAAGGGTTTGTGAGTTGTTTTGATTCATTGATCAGTATTATATTATTTGTTTTTACGTCGGATATCCGTTATTTCTTGCATTGGTTTATTGAATATTTTATTGGCATTAGTTTGAGAGATTGTTGGTCAATTTAAATCTGATGGTAATTATTCTAGTAGTGTGAAAGTAGTTAGAGTTACAACCTCTAGTAGGCCTGCTTTATAATATTTATCAAATATAATGAGATGAGTTTATTAAGAAAGTTCATTTACTTGTAATCTCTTTACCCCTCCTTGTAGTTAGATAGAGGTTTACTGTTGTCTATGTGTTACCTTTGTCAAATTTTAACTTGTATTCCTCATATATAAGTTTTTCTTTTGGACAAGTATATCTAAGTTTTTCTTTTGGACAAGTATATCTAAGTTTTCTATTGTATTACTTTAGGGTGAGGTTTCTTTAAATTGTTAGGTGGCTAGATAGTATTACGGGATCAAAAGTTAAGTTCAATTTTGCTCCATCATAATAGGGTAGGGCTGTTTTAGAAGGAAATAGTATCATGGTATGATCTAGATTCTACTTTTATTCAAACAAATTTAAACTAGAATGAGTTAAACTATTGTAGGTACTAGGTAGGAATATTTGTTGAGTTAAAGGATGAGAGCTGCCTGGATTCAAAGCTTAGATTGATTATCATTTCATCATAGATTTTACTTCTTTATATAAACATGGTGAAAACCATGGTAGATTTTACTTCTGAATAGCCTAACTATACTTTCTTGCCTTGTCCTAGAACTATTAGACTATGAGGAGGGATAATTTGACACAAAGATCTGACACGGTATAGGGACACTGTCTAAAATACATTCAATTTAAACATTGATTTAATTGGAAGAGAAACAAGAAAGTAAATAAAAAATCTAAACCACATAATAATACGGTCTTTGTGTCAACTTATTGTGTCAAGAAATCTTCTCTTAATTTATTTTAAACTTTTCGGTAGAAATTGAATAAGTTTTTAATATTGGTAGCATTCCAGATGCATTTGATTTAAATTTATTAAGTTAACAAATTTAAAAGTAGGACAAGAAATGTCCAGACTTTTCTGATGCCTGTCCTTGTATTTTGCACGAATTTGGGATTCATATTTGCATTTCAATACTTTTTTATTTCACTGAAAAAAATTACCTTCTTATTCATGTAAATTAGTTTCTTTTCTCAGTTGATCATTTATTCTGCAGGGGTGAGCACTTCAACTTCTACTGCTCCAGCAATTTCTAGTTCGAGCACCAGTGCAACCCAGTCGTCATCCGCTCTTGTTGCGGCTTCTAGTAGTGGGTATGCAGACATTTTTATGTGGATGTATCAAAGTATATCCTTTTTACCTTTCAGGAAAACACAAGCAAAATATTTCTTTATTCTGTATATTTTTATTCATTTTCTTTTCACTCTGGATTTTCTGATTTAAGTTTTTCCATTTGCAATACATCACATTGGTAGCAAATTCATGCTAATTTAATTCTAAAACATATGGATTATACTCTTATATAAAAACAAATAAAGAATGCTTATTTGAATATCAAATGCTTCCCTACTTTTTTCTTATAAGTCAGTCACTAGGAGGGTTTTGCATCGTGATCTCTTGTGTGCTCCAATATCCCAGAGTCACACCTTATAATTGATTGTTTTCTTGCTATGCTTTTTCTAAAGTAGAACTAACACACTTGTTATGCTGTTTATTGCATCTAGTTTAGTGCTTTATTTTTCCTCACTTTATATCTACTATAATGCTTTTAATTTCATTATATATGCCCGAGGACTGAGATGTTACTAATAAATTATAGGACGATGCTTTTAATACTTTCTTTTCAATTTGTCCTGTAGAACTACAACTATCAGCACATCAGTAGCTGCTACACCAAAATTGCCATCTGAAATCACAGGGAAGACTGTGGAGGAGGTATTGAACGTGTTCTTTTATTTGAGTAAGACTATTAGTAATGAGTGTATTTAATCATCCCAGATTTGTTCTGTTAGTAAATCATAGCTATTAATAAGAAGTATATTTAACTTAAAGCCTTAAAAAGAGACTATTAATTGTTACTCCCTCCGTCTCATAATAAGTGTCCTATTTGAGTAATGTGCGGTTCTTAAGAAAATGATTAGATGTGTTAGTTTTAGTGAAAAAGTTAACGTCATTTACTAGAATATCCCTATTAATTGTAGTTAATAGAGTAGTTGAATAAAGTGAAAGTTAATAAATAGGGATATAATAGTGGAAAAATAATAATAAATGATGCATTGGAATTGTAAATGGACAATTATTTTGAGACAAAGAAAAAGTGCAAATGAGACACTTATTATGAGATGGAGGGAGTAACGAGTAAGACTGGAACCACCATTTGTCAAATTATACTAAAGAAAGCACACACCACTAACAAATATTGTTGTGTTTGCAAATGTTTTCTTTTATAATAAAATGAATAATGAGAAGTTTGTTTGGTATTGCCAACACTAACATTCTTTTACGGATTCTCAGTTAATTTATCCTCTGTTTCTCTATTTCTCCTCCCCATTCTTGTAACTTTATGTAGATTATCAAGGAGTGGAATTCCGAGTTGCAAGAGAGAACTGGAAAATTTCGAAAACAAGCTAATGCAATAGCTGAATGGGACCGCAGGATTTTACAAAATCGTGATGTTCTGTTGAGGCTTGAGGTTTGTCTATCTTCAAATTATCCTTTTCAATGATTTCTATATAAAAACAGTTTAATTTAGCAGTGATTACTCTATAGCTTATTTATGTTGTTATAATCTAGATTGAAGTGGCAAAAGTAGTTGAAACACAGTCAAATTTGGAGCGGCAATTGGAGTTGATAGAGACTCATCAACATGAGGTAATTTGAGAACTTTTCTCATCCTCAATTGTTTGGCGAGCTTATTTTTCATGCATTTCTCGGTGTTAATTTCATTTTATTGTTCCGGCTGAGTGTTCATAAAATTTAGTGCGTTTATTTTATTTTGTAGGGGACTGTTTGACTACTCTGTTTCTATTCTAATATTGAATTGCCAATGCTCTTGAATATGTATGCATAGAAAATAAAATAACACGTAAAATAATGATAAAAAACAACAAAAAATAAGTAATCCCAATTAACATATAATTTTAAATGCTCTTCCTAAATACTTTTCACTTCTAGAAGTGTTTAGACCATTAGCACTATTGGAGTTGCTTTTTCTAGACTATTTAGAGCAAAGGAAACTGGTGAAACAGAGATGACAAGAACACCAGCCAACAATATTCACAAAGAAAACTGGAGAAACTTGTGAACCTAATAAAAGAGTTCACATCACAAAAGAGAAAACATGGTCGCATAGTAGGTATTGCACAAATTAGTAATGTAATCTAGAAGCAACATATATCGGGTTTCCTAATTGGTGGTGTCACACTACCGGAATGTTAGGATTCATCTTGAGAAGGTACGGATGATTGGATGGAAATTAGATGCCATTGTTTTGTAATAGCTGGGTGAAACTGGGCTTTTTCATTTTATGATTATAACATTCTGAATAACAATTTTGAGTTTGTTTGACTATTATACCTTTATTCTAACATCTAATTTATAGATGAAGCTAGATGATATTAGTCATTTCCTCTAACTTATCTTTTGGGATGTCAAATATTTCTTTATAGAATCAGAAAGAAAATTTACAATGTAATGTAATAAACAAAAGCTATTTAGTTACTTTCAAAACCTTCACGAACAGTTCACCATTTTATCAGTTCACTATTGCCCGTAAAATAATTTTGGATTGTGTTTGATATTGTGAAAAAGTCTCTTAGTTTCTTGTAACCCCTGTATCAGGTTGACAAGGCCTTACAAAGCGTGGAAGAAGAGGCTGAACGTATTTACAAGGATGAGCGTGGTTTACTTCTTGACGATGAAGCTGCTTCCACAAGAGATGCCATGTGAGTTTCAAATTTTTATTTTTGCCTGAACTGGTATCTTGATCTAATGTAGGAGAATTATTTAGTGTAACTATTGTGATGTAATATGAATTGCTACTATGTTAATGCATACATATATTTCGAGGATGTTACCACATCGTTCTTAGGGAGTTTCAATTCTTTATTTCAATCTGGTTAGTGTGGAGTGATTTTGATTTATGTGATTGTTCAATTTTTTTTTTTAGTTATCAGATACTTCACATTTACAATGATATGGTTATCAATGATAAACATGTATATAACATTTCATAAACCCCTCAAACCACAGGGGTATGTAATAAATTATTTAAATTTCACATGTACTATGCTTTTCAAAAATCACGAGAATGTAATCTGATTGATTGTATGCTTTGTAGATGCTTTAGTTGTATGAAATTAGGCATGTGAAGTCAACATGATAGACTAAGTCAATGGTCAGGTTTTAAAAACTACGACAGGGTGCAGTGACATCGACTGGTCTCTGTAACCAACTCCACCTAGGGAGAGGAAAGCCTGGTAACTGTGCCTGTTTTGCGAAATCACGTCACATAATAATAAGCTATTAAGTGGCAGATGCATACATCACTAACCTAACAGACTGGTATTACAGTCAATTGATTTCAGTTGCATTAATTATTCTATTTAGCTTTGAAATGTTTTTGGACCATTGGTTACATAATTCAAATTGGTCAGTTCTTCTGTGTTCCGCAGTATAAATCACATGGTAACTTGGTAAGGATTAAGAACTGATGATGATATTTATGTTGGTGGTATTTAAATCACTATGGAATTGTCATACACTATTTAATATGGTGGCTTACAGAATTCATAGCTATAAGATGTGGTGTTTTATGATGGTATTTTGTGCTACACCGCTTAGTCAGCACCTATTAAGAAAATTGAAGTTAGTAGATTTTCGCTTTTGGTGGTTTCAACACGTGTGGACATTTGTAGATCCAATGTGGAAAGTATATTTGGAGTGTAGTTTAATTGTTTGAGGAAATGGGGTGGGGGATAAGAAAAATTATATAGAAGGGTTTTAGATTTAAATGATTTGTCTATATACATGACATGCAATAGGTCACACATTGTTGTTCGATTGACGTGGTAGACTCTGCCTAGTGGAAAAAGATTTCTTTTTGGCTATGCAACTAGGTTATAATGAGCCCCCTTGTGGGGAGGTCAATAGTTTCCCCCCCCTAGCCACATTCCTGGTTACAAACAGAAGTGTTTAGTGAAATTTATATGGACAACTACCAGGTTTAGTTACCTTTACTAGATTAAAATTAAATTCAGAAATTCCAAATAATTTGTTATTAGTTTTTTTTCAACAGTGTCATCTCTAAATATTCTGAAGTTTTTTTGATAATATGAAACTCAATGAAATTGAATACACAAGTGAAAGACTTATATTATATCATATATTTCTTGAATTGAAAGTGATTAGCCCATGTTTCTCCTTTTACACTCTTCATTTCTGATGCACTCCTTCATCTGTGTTTCTTTTTCTCTATTTTGCAGGTATGAGCAGTCGGAACTGATTGAAAGGGAATTAGAGCAAATGACGGAGCAGATCAAGTCAATTATTCATTCCCTTAATTCAAACCAGGTGAAGGGTTGTCAGTTGACCTTTTATTATATAAACTAAATGAAGTTGTGCTTACGATAGTGTCTCATTCAGGGTGGAGAGATTGAAGCCCCAGATGGAATGACTCCACTAGATGCTGTAGTTCGAATTTTAAATAATCAACTAACTTCTCTGATGTGGATTGATGAAAAGGTTTGTGTTTGTCACTGTTACACACCTCGATACAAATTAAAAATAAAAAAGTAAATGAAAAACAAGACATTGAAAATATTTATAACAGCAGCTAAAGCTATAATGTCTGGAGCCTTGTAGTATTTTAAATGTTCAAACATTTTGACTCTTATTTATGGTTGTCTTGACATTGATCACTCTACTTCAGGCTGAAGAATTTTCTTCCCGCATTCAGAAGCTAGCTAACCAAGGCTCTGCTTCAGATCGTGAACTGGCAGGACCTGGGAGCTGGATGTCTTGATATTTCAAATTTGTATAGTATATCAACACTTTCAAGAACAAGCTAGAGAGCACACATTTGTATGAAGCGGCTAGCATAAATTGTGGAGATTCTGGATGAACTATTTTAGAATTATTATTACTAGCGAATTTTTCTATTGACTCCCCAATATCTCTTCTATAATTTTGTTTTGAAGCATTACGAAATTTTGAAGATTGTTGGTTGTAAGGAATGTTGTTTCTGGTTAGTTTCCCTTACTGAAAAAGTTGAGATCTGTACTAGTTTCTGCTGTCATTTTACAGATCTTCAAAGGTACTGCTTGTGAGTTTGCAAATAGTTCAAGTGAATTCCTTCCAAACAAATGATTTGTAATTGATAAACAAGGTAGCATTTAAATTTTAAATATTTTTAGCAGGTCATGACATGCCTTCTATCTCTGTACATGCTGAACAGAATGGTGTTATTTGTGGGATTATGATTCTCCTGATGAATTTTCAGTAGAGGGAGGGAGTTAACTGAAAAACTTCACCATTCAGTTTTCTTGATGATTTTGACTGTGCATATGGCATAGATAAATGAGTGGTTGATATTTTACCACACGAGATCTGTCTCTTGTTTCTTATTTGCATATGAAGACTTGTCTGTCTAGTAGAGAATACTCGCATAAATTGTTTCCATATTAAATGGCTAAAGCGAATGAAGCGTGTGTTTGGTTATGTGGTCAATTCTATGGTTCAGAATCAGATCACTGTCTAAAATTTTAAAATTTAAAGATATTGATGTCTGTCAGATCAAGATGAGGTGGTCCAACAAACTACACAATAATTTCTATTTTATAATTTAAGATGTGATCCAACAAAATACATAATAATTTCTATTTTATAATTTAAAATGTTGAACTTAAATCTGAATCGTTCAATCTTGCTTGAAACCAATACCCCGAATGCATGATTGAACGGTCCATCTAACTACACATACATTATTAGACTTGAGATCTTTGGAATCTAGCCATGATGACAATCAAGAGGATTACAATGGAGAGAAGGGTAGATGACCTAACTTTTTCATCCAACTGTATTGCATTTCCTGTTGCATTCCCAGTCCTAGGCGACTGAAATAAATCATTCATTAGTGACTGAAAACTTTCCATCAGCTCCAAAATCTTTCCTTTCATGATATCAAATATCCAGTTTACGATTTCTACGCCAATCTCTCTCTGTCCTGAAATCTGAGGCCTTTGACAATTAACTGAATGAAACAACAATTATACAATGTTAGATATAGAAGTATATTTCATTATCAAATAATGGTTTGAACAGACCTGAAGCAGGTAACTCCAGAAGCCTTTGATGCAACACATTTCTTATGACAGCATCCCAAATGGCTTCATCAGATGATAATGAAACCACTAATCTCTACAAGTTATAGTCCCACAGATTCCATGGACACAGAAAATTTAACTATATCAACAACTAAAGTCAGAAAAGATTAAATATCTAAAGTGAAGAGATAAACCTTAACAGCAGGATCAGCTTGTAGCATCTGAAGAGCATCATAAAGTCTTCTATATCCCTGTGACAGCATGATCCTTGAATCATAAGTGTCTGAGATTTGCTGAATAGTTATCGTTGATGATATTGCTTTCATAAATCTGATACAGAAATTTGAAAAGCAACCATTTAATCCAATCCAAAAGCTTAGCAAGTTTATAGTAGAGAATAAGCAATTCAATCGGCAAAACATGGAACTTACTCTTGAAGAGCTGAAGTTGCATCTTCAACTTCCCTTTGAGATGGAACAGTCTCAAATACACGGTTATAGAGACACCCACTTGATGTTATCTCTTGTTTTCTGCAGAGATTAGCATTACAGCAACAAGAGGATAAGGTATGATGATGATCAATATGCATAGTTCCACCTCCCATTGATGAATGATGATTGCTTTTTCCAATTTATGTTGGTAACTGATTGGCACGGTTTTCTATAATCTTATTGGCTACTGGGTGATGGGGTGTATCACAAACGGACCCACATCCCCTGCAGTCAAATAAACACACATTCACGCATTCAAGTGTGCCACATCATCTGATCAAAATCGGACAACTCTGATTTAAAGTTGTTAATTTTCAATAAACAAATCTACTTTTTCTGAACCATTTGATCAAGATCAAACGGTCTCTATTATTTTGATTGTGTGAATGTGGCAAAAAATTGACCGCAGGAGATTCAATTTGATTATAAATGATCAGTAGCCAAATTTTTTTAACACGCCTTAATTAGAACAAATTTAATATTTTATTTTCAAAGATTTTCGGATATGTATATCCGAAAAAAATTTAATATTTTATTTTCAGAAAGTTTTTAGATATATATATCCGAAATAATTTAATATTTTATTTTCAAAGAGTTTTCAATATCATTTAAAATTAAAATTAAAATCCCTAATTATTATTAACTTCTTAAAATAACTATTTAGCAAAATAACATAAAATAAATTATAAATTACAATAATAATTCTTATTTAAAATATATTACTTAGCTCATAATATAACCTTTATTTTAAAATAAATTATAAATTACAAAAATTTATAGAAAATGAAGAATTCTATGGTAAAATGAATAGCCAGTTAAAATCACAAAATTGTCATAGGATACCAAGAAATACGCATGCTATTAGACAAGTAGAGAAATTACATGGGAGATATGTTTTGATGTGGGTACCTCTTTAACCACCTAACAAAATATAGATGTTGGATGAAACCAGTCAAAAAAGTGAAACTGAGGTAATTGTTCACGCAAAGAGTTGTGGGATAAATCATGAGCAAGATTTATGGAAATATACTTTCAGACTATTTATTTATATAAAATGAGAGTGTAATTCATTTACACAATATATTTGAGGTGCGTTTGAAAACACATTATCGAATTATAGAAGTATTTTTTATTTTTCACAAGGGTGAAAGAGTAATCACTTAAGGTAAAAAAAAAGTAATGCCCATGCATAAACTTGAACAATTTTGTCCTTCCTTTGGTTTTCCAAACTCCACCTCTAATTCATACTTTGGATCAAATTGACCCCTTTTAAATTCATGATAAGTACTTTGGTAATTCCTCACTGCATCCTTGTATTATGAGACGTACCTCTGAAAATTTGAAAATGTTTTTGAGTTAATTTAGAGATACATTTTCAAATACATCAAATATTATTTTTTGGCAAAATTTAGTTCGGAGATACATCTCCGAATTCACCCAAGAGTAAATTCGGAGATACATATCCGAAGTCACATTTTCATTTAGAGAATTTTTTTAACCACTCAGTGATATTTTCAGAGATGTATATTCGAAAATGTCCAGCAGAAACTTGAATATATGACCACCTTGTATGATCATCTTCATCACTCTTCAAATTCCTCCATAACCAAAAAACCCTTAAAAAATCTCATTATTAATCAACTTTTCGAATCAAAATCAAATTTCTTGCATTTTAAACACATCAAAAGGAGCATCATAAAATACAATTTAAGATAAAGTTCCATCATTTCATCCTTCATTGCTTGCATTGATCTTTAGTTTGAGCTGAAAAAATGTTCGCCTCGTCCGGATATACATATCCGAACCCACCTACATTATTTTGAATATGTATATCTAAATTCATCTATTACTGGTTTTTAAGATTTTTCCTGTTTTGGTTCTTATTAGATATGGTTCATCAGGATATGTTTTCAAAAGTTGTTGTACATAACGATGTAAAACAAGATGTAGTGAAGGATAATATTAAACCCGTTGAAGTTAAGCAGGATGTTAAATTGAAAAAAGTGAATGATGATGTTAAACTGATATAGATAGACATTGGTCAATGTTTTATAAATGAACAACTAAATACTACTCGCGAACATATGCTTCAATGGGTCTACATGGTAGCCAGATATTTAGGGCTTGGCATTGTAATTGGAAGTTCGGACAATGGTTCAAATAGAAGATAGACATTAGTAACTATGAGATGCGAGAGAAGTGACACGTATGTTCCCCGATTTAGAAGTTGAAACATGATGATACCAGAATGAGAAAGTGTGTTGTCCGTTTAAACTACTTGGATATCGTAGCGTGGATGAGATATGGAAATTTAATGTGCTTTATGGAATACATAACCATGACTTATAAACAAAGCTAGTCGGTCATTCCATCGTATGTCGTCTTACACCAGAGGAGAAGGAAATTGTCTTGAACATGTCTTTAATCAGAGTGGCGCCGAAAAAGACACTTGTAGATTTGAAATGGAAATACCCAGAAAGTGTTTCAAATATCAAGCATGTATACAATCAACTTCATTGAAACAACATGGTGATAAGGGGTCCAAAATCTGAAATGCAACAACTTTTGAAACATTTTGATGAAAACCACTATGTTTCTAGGTACGCAATATATGATGATATAGTCACTGTTTGTGAAATTTTCTGGACTCATCCCGAAAGTATCAAGTTGTTCAACACATTTTCTATTATCCTAATTATTGAGCATAACAAACAGGTACAAATAATGTAATATGTGGATGCACATTTAGGAAGACTTATGATCTTCCATGTGCTTATCTCATTGAAAAAAAATTAAAGATTAATTCCCCGATGCATATGGATGAAGTGTACAGTCACTGGAAAAGACTCTGGTTTGATGATGATGGTTTGATTAAGGATGGTAAAGCGTGTATAAGTATCCAAAACGAAATGGAAATAATCAAAGAGAGATTTGAGAAGGCAGATGACACCATGAAATTGTACATCAAAGAGAAGTTGAGGAAGATTGCATATCCGAAAACCACAGATTTGAAATCTCATTCGCAACCAGTTAAAACCAAAGGTGCCCCTAAAAAGGTAAAATTGACTCAAGATGATAATTCAACAAAGAGGCCTCCATCGTACTTTGAACACGTTGATTCATATTTCCCGGATTCTCCAACTCCAAAATCTCAAAAAAGTGTTCAAAAGGGTGCTCGCATTAGCAAACCACCTCCTCCACCACCGATGCCCGGGATTGAATTCATTGATAAAATGTTGCTTTTTATTCACAAACATATTGAGCGGTTGTGAATGTTCGGGATGATGGTAATTTCAGTTTTCAGGCTGTATCTGAATTGCTTGGTAAAGAAGAGGAGGATCACCTACTTGTCTGCTTCACACTTTTGAAAGAGTTGATGATGCACGGGGAATTATACATGAAGTTATACGGGTAAATAATTTGATTCAATTCAAGATGCACTTATTCCTTATCGTAAAGGTAAAACACCATTTTCAAAATGGATGCACTTCCCTGAAATGGACCACCTTATAGCAAGTGCATATGATAAAGGGTGTATCAATCTGACAAGATATGAGTTATTAGAGACACTTTTTCTATTACAGAGTGGTCCACTTAAAAACCCTTCCAAATGCATCATGTGCATATGGTTTCTTTCAAAGGACATGCATTTCATTTAGGTTTATTTGAAACCTGGGTGTCCAATTCTAGATACATCGGTCGAGTGGACGACGCATTCAACAAATGAGGTGGAAACTTAGCCGGATCAATTTATGGAGAGGATGATATAGTTCATTAAATTGATGGAGCTTGAAAGAAAATCAAATAAGGAATCATCGAAGATGGAACCAGTTGTAGATTTATGGGGTACTGGATCTTTTGATGCATTTTAAAATGTAATCGATACACTTTTTGTATGTATTATTGCCGACAATGTAATCTTGATACGATTCAATACATATTCATTTTCAGGTTTGGTTTACATTGATGTACTTGTTTACAAACTTTCTGTTTTTTTCTAGTTCATGTTTACAAACTTGTTTACAAAATTTCTGATTTTTAACCTAGCCAATGACAAATTGGGTTCAAGCATGGATTCAAGGACTCAATGGCATCATCTTGACCTAATCAGAAGGTTCAAAAGATCTCAAATACATTGGATTGACAGATGAATTTTCCAGTCAATTGATCAAAAATCAACTGTACGCTGAAAAGTCAAACTTTGACTTTTTGATCAAAATCAAGTGCCAAGGGTCATTTTTCATCAAGATGTGTCAAAACATGAAACTTGTTCACCAAGAAACCTAATTTTGGAAATTAGGGTTTAAAATGGAAAATTTTCATAACTTAGAAATTTTCTAAGTTATGAAAATTTCTTATTTTTTTCCAACTTTTCCCAACTTTTTCACCATGATGCATTTGGATTCAAAGAAAACTTCCAACATGAAAGTTGTAATACTCCACAAAATCTACAACTTTGGTTCACAAAATTTTCCCAAGAGATGCTTGGATATCAAGTTATGATTTTGAGAACAAGGGTCCATGAAACTTTTAACTTATTGAAATTTTGCCCTAGTTTAGGCAGGATTTTGACCTATCTTCATGGCAATTTTTTACATAGTTCCAATTTGAATCTCAAAATTCATTTCAAATATGGATTGTAGATAATGTTACGAGTTTTCCAAAATGTCCAAGAACTCTCCAAAATCATTTATGGTTAGGGAGAATCGAAGGTTTGAAAATGGGAAATTATCACTTTTGGCCAAGGCATTTTACACCATGCTACAAGTTGCAAATTTTGTCCAACTTTGCTTGTACTTGTTTACAGGTCCTTAAACCTTTACACACTCATAAATTAAAAGCAAATACATTGGATTAAGGCTTTATTCTGAGCTTTAGGGCATTGTACGAGGAATTAATCTAAAAATGGCAAAAAGGCAACATTGCCACTTTGATAAAGCTTGCTTTATGTCAAGTTGTTTCTCTTGAGCTGTGAACCAAATATTTTGCACCAAACCAACTCCACAAACTTAGGGCAAGGTACACCAACTTTGTGCAGCTAAGAAGGAGGCCTGTACAGGCTCTTGAGCATTGTCATTTCACTTTTGCTTCAAAAGCAAGAAAGTGTGCAAAA